CTAATATTTCATTAATGAGAGCTGCTGAGCAGCTTTCGGTTTGCTTCTGCCTCCTGGCAGGAATAAGGTCAAAACAAGGACATTTTTCATTTCTGTACTTCACTTGAATGTTGACTACTCTCAATCTCACAGTATTTCTCAGATATTCTCAGATTTTTCTGCTTCTCTGTTGCAAGTCTGCCAATTTTATTTTTTTAAAAATTTATTGCATAGCTGTAAAGTAAGGAAGGAAGGAAGAAACGTGAATATTTGAGACATCCCTTTGCTTATGACTCAAATATAAAGCTCATTAAGTTGGCCATTTTGGCTCAAACAAAAGGGCCACTCAATCAATCTGTTGCCCTGCCTCCAACAATAGCCACTAGCAGATGCTGGGGGAAAACACATAAGAAAAGCCCCATGCAGCAGGCACAGCGTGTCCTTCTGCCTATCTACAGTTTAGGGAACTCTCAGAAAAATGTTGGGCATTTATTTTTACTATTGTGAACAACAGTACTTGATGGATCTTTTCCTACACATACAGAGAAATAAAGTTTTAACACCCAGCATTTTATCTTTTTAACCAACAAATATTTTCCATATCTGAAGCATCTTATGAAATTGGGTTCCATAGTTAAAATACACATTGTCCGAAAAGGCACATCCTTGCACCTTACCTCACTGCTGTCCTTGGTAACTTCACTTGGATTCTCTTGGTTTGTGTCTTTAAAAATGTAACAAAAACTTCTCTGCTCATCTCCAATTCAACTCTGTTTCCATCTGCTGCACATTATCTAAGCTGAAGGGTTCTCATCTTTGCAGGGCCCATTACACACCTTTCTCCATGGCTCATCTAGTTCTGAGTTGACAAAATCTGCATGCAGTGTGACAAATACAGGGCATGCTCAGTGGCACATACCATGTTCCCTTCCTAATAATTGCCAAGCCTCTGCATCCAGGACCTCTGCCTCACCAGAGCTGCTGCTGCCTCTGAACTTCCCGCCGAGGCTCCAGCACATCAGCCTTGAGCAGTAGCGTGGGTACTGGTGGATGGTTTTCCCCCTATGTGTTATTGCATCTGTGTTAATAAGGAGTTTTATGGGTCATTTTTCCAAAGTACTCAATGTTTCAAGAGGCGTTTGCAACTCTTTATGATCGTTCCTCATTTTTATTACCCTGAGTAGTTTTGTACCTACTGTCAGTAAGTTTTGCATGTCCATTCACCTCTCTTTCCTGAGAGATCTGGAAATATACTGAGTAGATCTAATAATCTCCTTCCACTGTGAAAACTGGCCTTGCCCTTTGCTTCCTATTATAAACAGTTACTGATCTATATGAATACCTTCTCTTCTATCTCATGATATTTCACAAAAGCTCTTTGAAACTGAAAGCATGGTGGCCCATTTGTTTCCATCCCCATGTTCCTTAACTCTTTCAAGGACACATGGTTTTCCTCAGAAAAAAATAGACAACTCTTCCTCAAGACACTACACATATATTTCAACTGACATTACTTAGCTTTATCCTAGCTCCAGCCAGCAGCTCTGTACAGAAGTCTGCAGAAGTCTACCCCTTCCTGCATGCCCGTGGAAGATTTTCTTCAAGGCTGGCATGTGTCACCTCCTCCATCCCTGGCCCCTCAAGCAGACTCTCAAACTGCTTGGCTGCTTGACGATGCACATAACTTTTCAGCAATTATACTGTGTTTTCTTTGTTTGGACAAAGCGTACACCTTTATGGAAGGCGTATTTCTATTTCTAACACTCTTCTTCATTCAGTTGTTTCTCTGTGTTGAGTTACTTTTTTAAAAAAAAAATAAATTGTTAGTTTGCATGTGTATTTTAAGCTTCTGATAGGTAATTTACACATTCTCCACAATACTACTGAAACATTTACCCTGATTGTCCCTTAAATTTCTTTCTAGAAAGCAGTCTTATTCTAATTTTGTTCTTCTTTTGAAACAAAATGTATTAGGCTCTTCTAGTTCTACAAGAATATTGAATCGGAAATGTTAAAACCAAAATAACAGAGCATCTTTGTGACAGTTAGATCTTGAACTACTCCTGCTCAGCAAGGAAGCAAGATTTTACTTTTTTTTCCCTCTCATTAAGTATCAGGCAAAGTGCAAAAAGAAACTATCCTCTATGGTACCTACAATGTAGTCCCAGCCTGTTATGCAATTTATTCAGCCTTAACGGAAGCAGCTGAAATTTTCTATTATTATTCCGTTTTCTACCTCTACAGCCCCTGTGACTTTGTTCTGAGGTGAATGTCACCTGGTCAGGGGGTTGTTTGTCTATCTGTATCCTCTGCTCTACCTACATGGGCAAGGAATGTCAGGGAATCAAGTTTCTGTGATATTTAATGAAACACTTTCTGATCCAATGCAGTATTTTCTTCTGCATTTGCAGAGGGTGTTCTTTTCTCTAGATTGTACCATAAGAAAAGACCACTCAACTGTGCAATTTTTCTTAACTGCTGTCAACATCCAAAGCATTGAAGGTCAGCAAACATGAGTTATTACCTGCAGCCGCTGCATGAACAAATCCTGCAGCTGCTGAGCCCAGCACACAGACTCATGTCAAGCCATTAGCTTCATCTCATACCCACGGCTGACCTGGAGGACACCAGTGCTTTCCCCATCCATTCCATGAACACCAGCAAAAGGTTGCTGGAACAGAGACTGAAAACTCTCAAGTGTGTGCAGCATGGTTACTGGCACAGCATCTTTTTGAAATTATGTTAGCTTACACAGCAGATGAAGAAGTGGGTGGTAGGGGAGGGATATATTATTTGGACAGTCTTTTCAAGGATAGGCTGTTTTCCCCTGTAAAATGCCACTGCTTAGGCTGGCGAAGGCAGAGCACACAGCTGACCTTGCAGCGACTTTGGGAGCGTGCAGGTTAAATTTCTGCAGCACTGCATGCACGCAGTACACAAGGCAGCAGCAGTCATTAGGAATGGGAGCCTGAACCAAGTTACTGACTCCCCAAGGGAAAGCCACATCCCTGCTGTACCGACAGCAGCCGCTGCTTTTTGGCAAAGGTACAAGCAATAAAAGAAAACAATCCCAGAGAGGTGCTAAAAGAAAAGAATCGATCGTTATCGCTGTCTCACCTTGGGGAAAGGGATAAACACTGTAATAAGCGTCAGATTTCTACAACTGCTCTTTCTCCACAGGGAATAAGCCTTTCCATGCCTCGCCAGCTAAGCAGAGGTCAGGGCCATGCCAGAGGAAGTAGCTACCATTAGCAGGCACAAAGAACAGATCTGCTGTGTGGGTGAGATCTGTCTGAACTAAATAACCGGTTGAAGTAAGAACAGGTAACCACTATTTGCGGCTGATGCAGGTCCTCAAGTATTTTGTTTTCTTAAAAGGAGAACAGTATGTTTCTAACCTGCAGACAAATTGTAGTTAGCCTGAAAGGGCCAGTCTGCCCTCCTTGGAAAAACGTATGGTATCAGAGCTGCCACACGTTATCAGTTGATTTGCACTGATGTTGAGGAGGGGCAAAATACAACCATGAGATCCCCAAGTAATGCCAGGGTCTGGTTTTACGCAGGCACAGGGCTAGCTGGACTGGCAGGGAAACACACCTGCGTGAAAAGCCAGTTCTCTTCTTCGTTGCTTCTTTCCTGCCCTGAACACGCTCAGGGTATTTCTTTAGAGCAATGCTTGTCTTGTCAGCAGTGAGTGTATTAAACTTTGCTGTGAGCCGAGTCAAAAAAAAAAAAGAAAAAAAGAAGAAAAGCCTCTCTACTGCTGCTGTTAGATGTGGTGACTGTTATAACTGTGTGCCACGACTGCGCGAAAGTGTTAGGTGGTTACACAGTGTGGTCTTGATTCTCCACAACAAAATCACTCCTCTGCCAGGTCACTCCCATTCTTTTTCCTTAAAAAAAATTAAAAAATCTGGGCTAGCTTCAGAAAACGTTATGGAATTCAAATCTGTGGTACAAAGAAACATAGAGTTGCCCTAATCTGCTCTGTTGATTCAAGGCCCAGGTGGGATTTTTCTCCCATCCTGTTGGTCCTTTCTAATCTCCCTCCACAGCATGCTTTTCTTTTTTACCTTTGTCAGTACTGTCACACCGGAATCCTACAAGCACATGAAGGCATATTGCAGCATGATACATGCTCACACATACAGCAGCCTATTTTTAAAATCTAACTTTAAGACTGCACAATGCAAGTCTCCTGAGGAAACTTCCATCTGTCATTTTGCAGAAACAGCATCACAGAGGAGCAATTTATCACGGCCAGGTCCAAGGATCTGAAGACATAGTTCATCCATGTGTACCCCTCTGGTCTTGTGCTGGTCACTTGCCAACCCACAGCCTCTCCACACAGCAAACATTTGCTAATGCATCTTGCTTATGAACAAAAAAGGAGGGTGGAGGATTTTTGTTTTGTTTTGTTTTCTAATAACCAGGAATGGTACAGAAATGTGGTGGGGCTTTATTTTTTTTTTTTCTCTCTTGCTATCAAGTTGGTTACACAGCTAGCTTTTCATGTCTGTGTTTTTGCGGGCTAGCAACACCAGCATTTAGATTACCTGTGGTGTGGTGTGATATGAAGGATCCAAAAAAATCAGGCCCACTCTCTTCATTTATACCTCGGCAATCTCACTTACATGGAATAGAGAGCTGGAATAGCAAACCAGCTTTGGTGTGGCAGGTTGATTTATAACATGGCGTAAACACGCAGTGCTGCTCTGAGGCTGAAGATTGCTTTGATTTGCTGTCCCACTTCTATTAGTATTATGTCACTTGAGAGTTATTTCATCAGAACTCCCTTTCATACACAGATGTGCAGTCCGAGCTCACTTCCCCAGTTCCATGTGTGCTAGCGCTGCCTGTTGCAGGGCAGGGCAGGGATGATGCCCCAGGGTGATGCTGGCTGCTGCTTGCCCACACAAACCTAACATCCCTGAAAAATCACTGTGGCCTTACTTAAATTTATGGACTATCTACAGCAAGGAAAGCCATCCTTTCAAAGACAATTTTTTTTTTTTTTTCAGTGTCCTGGCTAGTCCTGAGTGAAATTTTCCCTGGTGGGATCAGAGGACGGGCCATGGCTTTGACATCTAGCATGAACTGGGGTATAAATCTCCTCATCTCCTTGACATTTTTGTCTGTAACTGGTAAGATTTCTCTGTGTTCTTTCAAGCTGATACTCTCCTAGGGAAAAAAAATGAATCTTTCCTATACAAACTACATTGCTAAAATTGCTGCCATCATGCCCCAGGAGCCAAATTCTGATCTCAATTCTGATCTCTATCTGTTAGTGTAACATCACCACTTCCACCACATCTTTTTAAGTTTATGCTAGTAATTACAGCCTCACAGTGCTGGCTATCAGAGCATCTTGCCCATCAACTCCTCAGCTTTTTAAAACACCATTACCTTACTAAGTCTAAAATATTTAATATTTAGGATTTAATCCTGCACCTGTAGAAGTAAATGGAAGTTCTGCTCTAGATCAGATCACATCTTTTCGGATCAAATATTTTTGAAGACAATCCTATTGAAATAATTCATTTT